GGACAGGCTTTTCCACTGGAATGTTAGGCATTGGAGCTGCAATAAGAAGGCATCTCTCAGGTGTGGGTGGTGTGTTGGCCTCACTTACCCCAAAGTCTCTGCCAATTCCTACTCTGATTATGGGGCTAGCTGGTCTGGGGATATCCCTGGTGGTCAAAATTGCTGGCAGAGCTTCAATTTTTTTTTTTATTTTTTTTTTTAATGTTGGCTGGCACAGGAAGGTTAAGAAAAACAAATCAGAACCAAGCATGGTGTCTTACTTCTATAATGCTAGCTCGTTGGGAGGTAGGGACAGGATAATGGATTCAAGGCCAGTACAGGCAAAGTTAATGAGGCCCTGCCTTATAAACATAAATACATGTCAGTGGCCACTGACTCATTATTATTATTATCCTAGCTGCTTAGGAGGCTGAGATCTGAAGATGGAGGTTAAGCATCAGCTTGGGCAGACAAATCTGAGAGAAGAGACCCTGAGTTCAAGTCCCAGTATTGGCACAAAATGAAAATGTATGCCTAGTTTTCTTTGTCTCTGTTGCCATCAGTTTGCACATCTTTTCTGCAGTTAGTGTGGATCAGGTCACTTAGCTATGTGCTTTCTGAGCTTGGTAAAAAATTTTTCTCCTGCTGCTACTGGGATTTGAACTCAGGATCTTGCCTTGTTGCTCAGTCCTTTCCACTTCTACTCATAGCTGGCACTCTATCACTTGAACTATAGTTCCATTTCGGGCTTTTTGCTAGTTAATTGGAGGTAAGAGCCTTTGGATTTGCCTTCCTAGCTGGCTCCAAACCTCAATTCTCAGATCTCAGCCTTCTGAGCAGCTAAGATTATAGGTGTGAAGCACTTGTTCCTGACAGCATAGTAGATTTATTTTCCCTCTAGTTGATGTTTTTCTAGAGAGTAAACTTCTAGTTGAGTCCTGGTGCAAGGATGATTACACATAGTGTGAAGTGGGGTATAGCAGGATCTAGGACAACAGACAAGAAACTGGGCAGCCAGGGCTTCTCCTTCAAATGCCACGGTGGCCTTGAGCAGCTGAAAGCACAGAACACAGGACTTGTTTTCCTTTCTGTGGATGGCTGATAGATTCTTTCTTTCTTTTTTGTTGGTCCTGGGACTTGAATTCTGTGCCTGATCACTGTCTCTGGACTCTCTTTGCTTAAGGTTAGCACTCTACCACTTGAACCACAGCTTCTGGCTTTTTCTGTGATTAATTGGAGATGAGAGTCTCACAGACTTTCCTGCCCCAGCTGGCTTTGAACCGCATTCCTCAGATCTTAGCCTCCTGAGTAGCTAGGATTACAAGCACCTGGCTTGACTTCTATTTTTCCTTTTTTTCTTTTTCTTTTTCCTTTTTTGTCGGTCATAGGGGCTGATCGCTGGGCCTAGATGCTGTCCCTCAGCTCTTCAGCTCAAGGCTAGTGCCCTACCACTTGAGCCACAGAACCACTTCTGGCTTTTTTCTGCTTATGTGGTGCTGAGGAATCGAACCCAGGGCCTCATGCATGTGAGACAAGCACTCTACCACTGAGCCAACTTCCTAGCTCTTGGCTTCTTTTTTTAAAATGTCAAAAAAAATTTTTTTCCTTAAACCTTTTTTTCCTTTTTGTGGTCTACTTCTGATGATATACTTGATAATTGTATAATTTTCCTCTTTAGGTCTTTATGATTTTATTTTAGATACACAGGGTAAAAAGTCCCATATTCGCCGGGCGCTGGTGGCTCACGCCTGTAATCCTAGCTACTCAGGAGGCTGAGATCTGAGGATTGCGGTTCAAAGCCAGCCCGGGCAGGAGAGACTCCTATACCCAATAAACCACCAGAAAACCGGAAGTGGCGCTGTAGCTCAAGTGGTAGAGCGCTTGCCTTGAGCTGAAGAGCTGAGGGACAGCGCCCAGGCCCAGAGTTCAAGCCCCACGACCGACAAAAAAAAAAAAAAAGTCCCATATTCAAGCTTCTGATTCTTCGAAGTTTTTTTTTTTTTTTTTTTGTGGTGGGGCTTGAACTCTGGGCCTGGGCATTGTCCCTCAGCTCTTCAGCTCAAGGATAGTGCTCTACCACTTGAGCCACAGCACCACTTTTGGTTTCCTGAGTGGTTTTATTGGAGATGAGTCTCATGTACTTCCCTGCTCGGGATGGCTTTGAACCGTGATCCTCACATCTCAGCCTCCTGAAGAGCTAGAATTATAGGCGTGAGCCACCAGTGCCTGGCTTCTGATTCTTTTAGATGGGTGAAGAGATTCTATACATGCTGGTTGCAGTCTGCCAGGAGGTTACTTGGGTATAGTGAGTGCCAAAACATGAATGGCCACTCCTCTATCTCCGTCTTCTCAGGAGGGAGATTTCCTGGCTTTTCTGCAGCTAGAGTGAACAGAAGGAATTCTGAACAACACTAGTGCTGTTCTCAAGGTATGCTGGGTCCTGACCACAGCCACTCACAGATTGATTACCTGAGGTCTCAGTGTGAGTAAGGGAAGGCCAGACATAACTACAAGTGAGGATTGGGAGGCCCAAGAACTGGAGCCGGGTGGAAGGGTTACCAGGGACAAAGTACAATATTAGCAAAGGCGGAAATGCCTGTTTTGTTTGGCTTGTCTTCTATTTTATAGCACATGATCTTCAAGCTATAATTAGGAGCAAAACCTTTTTAAAAATGGTTTGCAGTCGGGCACCGATGGCTCAAGCCTGTAATCCTAGCTACTCAGGAAGCTGAGATCTGAGGATCAGGGTTCAAAGCCAGCCTGGCCAGGAAAGATTGTGAAACTCTTACCTCCAATAAACCACCAGAAAACCGAAAGTGGTGCTGTGGATCAAGAACGCTAGCCTTGAGCTGAAGAGCTGAGGGATGGCACCCAGGCCCAGAGTTCTAGCCCCACCACTGACAAAAAGAAAAAGAAAAAAAAAAAAGGTTTGCAGGACTGAAAACAGTGCTCAGAGCATCTTGGTTTATGTTTTGGCATCAAACATGAAAGGGCTATCTGAGCGCCACTGGGCAGAGGACGTGGGAGTGGCGGCATAGAACTGACCTGCACAGCCCTGGGGCCTGGCTGCAGGAAAGCCTTCTTCCTTCTTAGCTGCAGGCTCTCACGGCAGTTCCTTGTTCATAGAGCTCAGCAGAACTGGCCTCTGCTTCTTAGTTTCTTGCTGTTAAGTGGTGTGTTCTAGTTCAGTATAGGCTTGTTTTTGGCCTCTAACCAGGTTGATGCTTTTCAGACTCTTGAGTCATTAACAATTCTCATACCAGCCATGCCACCTGTGATGTTGCCCAGGCAGGATAGAGTAGGGCTCATCCTCATCATAAGCCCTGACATCTGATGTTTTTTACCCATTCCTCACTAAGGATGTTCCTTTGGCACAGTTGCTAATTGTGGTTGTCCCACCATTCAAAACTATTGCTATGTGCTATGTACTGCATCTGGTCTCTATACATACACCAGGCATCTTTGCTGTGGTAGAGATTCAGTGTGTCTCCTGGGACCTGCTAGTCTGCTGACTGGAGCAAAGGTGGTATAATATTCAATGACTGCCCAGATGCCCCTGTGCTGCCAGGTCCCCCTCAGACCCCAATGTACCCCTCTATTCTTGTGTTAACACTTTGTCAGTTCTGTTGAAAATACTCAGTGACTTCTTAGAGCCCACCAGGAGATGTTTCCATTTCCAAGATGGAGCACCTGACCCCAAGCCAACTTCAGCACAGCACACCAGGTCATCACTAGTGCTCCTTCCACCCCCATGTATGGCTCTCTGTTGCTTGCCCTTAATTCTGATCCTGCACTTCATGTGGAAGCTTTTGTTACTATCCTACATCATTATTCTTAAGTCTCTTTGTGGCCCCAGAGACCTTCTCATGCATCTGTTCCTTTCCCCTGGATTCCTTGCAAGCAAGAACCTGTTTTTGGCTCTTTGCTTGAGTTCAGGCTTCAGGAAGCTGATGAGGAGGGAGGAACTTGAGCTCTGGTTGTTAAATGAAGAATCTAGAAGTGTGATAGGCCAATATTGTTTTATATTATTTGTCTCAGTTTTCTTTCTGTGATTTTTGAGGATCATGGACCTGATACTACAGCTCTTGTGTCCAACATTCTTCAGTACCCTGGGCTTAGTTGATTTGTGCTTTTGAGCACAGACAGGTTTAACTAGGTTTATTTTCGGAACTGAGGCTAAAGAGCCCTGGCATACTAGTTTGTTTATCATAAAACCTAGTGCTGGCAAGACAGGTAGGGAGGAGACCTGCCCTAGAGGGAAGAATGAAGGCTGAGAGCGGAGTAGAGCAGCCAGTGCCTTAGGAGACAGGGGACAGGCCACAGAGCCCAAGTCTGATACGCCCTTCCCTTTCTAGCAGGTACACTTTTTGTATGTTATACTCACGTGTTAGAGGCACAGTTTACACCACTCTTATTCAAGAGGAGCTCTGCCTGCCTCATATGTACAGTGTTTATCTCTGGAACAACATGTGATAGAAAAACTTTAATGGGATTTCCTGTTTTCATACGTTGTGAATTGTCTCCTCATCTCCCACACTAGAAATTGTTGACATTGGGGCTGGTCTCTTTGGTCACATCAAGAGACATGCATTGTTCTACATAGGAACTGGGGGATGACTTCTGTGGCCTGTTTACAGAAGAGGAATCTGGAACTAGGCTTCCACTGTACTCAGTGGCACAATTAGGGAGGGACCACTAAGAGGCCAGGAGACCAGGTCTAACACATACTTGATTTTGTGCTGATTGTGGGCAGTCTTTAGGGATGGCTCTCAGCCTGCTTATGGAGCTTCCATTTTACTTCGTGATAACCACTTTTCCATTCCTTCTCATGGTCCTGCCCCTTTACTCCCAAACTCAGCCTCTTGACATTTCTCTACTAAGCATTCCCTTTCATGCATGCAAGGGACAATACCTGGGCCACCTAAGGGCAGTTGTACAGGACTCTGGTCAGGCCCCTGGAAGCAGATTTACTGTGTAACACTCTCTCTCTCTCTCTCTTTTTCTCTCTCTCTGTATTTCAGTGAGGATGCCATGAGGAAAGCTGGTGTGGCCCACAGTAAATCCAGCAAGGATATGGAGAGCCATGTGTTCCTGAAGGCCAAGACTCGGGTAAGGCCCTGTTGTGTAAAACTCCTCAAGAAAGAGGGTCTGGGAGAGGAGTGTTACAGAATCTGAAAACTATACTGGGGTCCTGGGGAGTGGGAAGGTTCTCTCTCCTGTGTGTCCATGCAATGGGAAGGACACTAAGTTGCCATCTTGGATATGGGCTCTGCCTCTGGACCTCACTGTTGGCCTTTGCTGTATGTGGTCAGCCCAGTGAGTCCTGTGAAGGAGATGCTCTGCCCTTGGCCTCAGAGTCAGTGTCGTCCTCCTTGAGCCCTGCAGGACCCTGATGCATGGGTTAGAGAAGGGTTTCCTCTGTTTAATGAGGCAGGGAATATTTGTCGGGGTTGAGGCCTGGAACAGGTGGTGTAGGGAGAGGGATTTCTATTGTAGACTCTTGCTCTGGGCCAGGTGTACCACCTTGGGCTTTAAGTGATCCTCTTTTCCCATCTGTGGCTCTCCTTGGAGAGTGAAGCAAAATAACAAAGTTTGGTAGCGAAAAAAATGTGTGTGTGCACATGAATGCACATGGAAGAGCCCTTAAGAGCATACTTAACTGAGGTGAGTAGAAGTAGGTTGTGGAGCTTGAACCCAGGGCTTGGGCACTGTCCCTGAGCTCTTTTTTGCTTAAGGCCAGTACTTTACCACTTTAAACCACAGCTCTATTTCCACTTTCTGGTGGTTAGTTGGAGATAAGGGTCTGGACTTTACTCCCTGGGCTGGCTTTGAACCACAATCCTCAGATCTCAGCCTCCTGAATAGCTAGAATTACAGAGGTGAGCCACCAGCACCCATCTTTTTGTTGTTGGTGGTGGTGGTTGTGGTTGTGAAGCTTGAACTCTGGGCTTGGGTGCTGTATCTCAGCTCTTCAGCTCAAGGCTAGCGCTCTACCACTTGAGCCACAGCGCCACTTCTGGTTTTCTGGTGGTTAATTGGAGATAGGAGTCTCATAGACTTTCTTGCCCGGGCTGGCTTTGAACTGCAAGCCTCACATCTCAGCCTCCTGAGTAGCTAGGATTATAGGAGCGAGCCACCTATGCCCAGCTGTCCCAACTCTTTTTGAGGACTGGCTTTGAACTATGATCCTCCTGATATCTACCTCCTGAATAGCTAGGATTACAGAGGTGAGCCACTGCACTTGGCTTCATTTGCCTATGGATTTTTTTTAAACCATTAAGTCATCAGTCTTTTTATTTCTGGGCTTTACTAGTTCTTTGTAAATTTGAATACAAATCTCTTACTAAATATATAATTCTCAAATATTTAGGGGATGAGATTTTAAATTTTTGTATATTTTTTGTGCTCACACACCTTTTTTTCTTTTTTGATCTTGGTTAGAACACTATTTTTTTTTATTTTTTAAATTTTTATTTATTTACTTAGTTGGTTGTGGGGCCTGGTCCCTGTCCCTCAGCTCTTCAGCTCAAGGCTAGTGCTCTACCACTGGAGCCACAGTGCCACTTCTGATTTTTTCTACTTATGTGGTGCTGAGGAATCGAACCCAGGGCCTCATGCATGCAAGGCAAGCACTCTACCACTGAGCCACCTCCCAGCCCAGAACACTATTTTTAAAAAATATATTATTGTTATTGTAGAAGTGATATACAGAGGAGTTACAGTTACATAAGTCAGGTAATGAGTGCATTTCTTTTTTTTCTTTTTTTTTTTGTGGGGAGGGGGTGGTCATTTGTGGGCCTTGAACCTCCTGGGCACTGTCCCTGAACTCTTTAGCTCAAGGCTAGCCCTCTACCACTTGAGCCACAGCCCCACTTCCACTTCTGGTGGTTAATTAATAATCTCACAGACTTTCCTGCCCATGCTGGTTTTTGAACTCTGATCTTCAGATCTCAACTTCCTGAGTAGCTAGGATTACAGGGGTGAGCTACTGGTGCTGGCTTAGGAGTGCATTTCTTTCTTTCATTATTTCTTTTTTTTTTTTTTTTTTCCGGTCGTGGGGCCTGAACTCTGGGTGGGCCTAGGTGCTGTCCCTCAGCTCTTCAGCTCAAGGCTAGCAGTCTACCACTTGAGCCACAGCACCACTTGTGGCTTTTTATGCTTATGTGGTACTGAGGACTCGAACCCAGGGCCTCATGCATGCAAGGCAAGCACTCTACCACTGAGCCACTTTCCCAGCTTGGGAGTACATTTCTTTTTGAACCATGTACCCCTTCCCTCAATCTCTTCCAGTTTTTTCCTCCTATTTTCACCCACAAAATAGTGTCCTGTGAGTACCACTGCTATAGTTGTTCACCCTTTATCATACCTTTTCTGTTGCCCCCCCTTTCCCCCTCCCCCCCAAAGACAAACTAACAAAAGGAGGACAAAAACAGCAACAACAGCAGCAACAAAAAATTCTTGTTTCCATTTCTTAGAGTTAATTTCATAAAATATTATTTATATGTTCAAATGTACATAGTTATTGAGCTTTTGTGATCCAGTCCTATGAATATTCTCCTTTGGTCTCACTGTATGTCTGTCTAGAAACCTGTATAATTTATCATATCCCAGTGTAATTTCTTTTTTTTTTTTGCCAGTCCTGGGGCTTGAACTCAGGGCCTGGACACTGTCCTTGAGCTTCTTTTTGCTCAAGGCTAGCACTCTACCACTTGAGCCACAGCACAACTTCTGGCCTTTTTTGTTTATGTGGAACTGCAGATTTGAACCTAGGGCTTCATGCATGCTAGGCAAGCACTCTACTACTAAGCCACATTCCTAGCCCTAGTGGGGTTTTTTTTGTTGTTGTTTGTTTGTTTTTTTACCACCTCATGTGTTTACTTGTAGATTTTTTTTTTTTCAGTCATGGGGTTTGAACACAGGGCCTGGGCACTGTCCCTCAACTCTTCAGCTCAAGGTGAGCACTCTTATCACTTGAGCCACAGTGCCACTTCCAGTTTTTTGGTGGTTAATTGGAGATAAGAGTCTCAGGCACTTTCCTGCCAGGGCTGGCTTTGAACCGCAGTCCTCAGATCTCAGCCTCCTGAATAACTAGCATTACAGATGTGAGCCACTGGCGCCTGGCTTTACTTGTAGATTTATTTTATTTCATTTTATTTTTTTTGTTGGTCGTGGGGCCTAAACTCTGGGCCTGGGCGCTGTCCCTCAGCTCTTTAGCTCTAGGCTAGCACTCTACCACTTGAGCCACAGCACCACTTCCTGCTTTTTCTGCTTATGTGGTGGTGAGGAATGGAACCCAGGGCCTTATGTATGCAAGGCAAGCACTCTACCACTCTACCATCTTCCCAGCCCTCCATGTAAGTAGTTGTACAAAGAAGTTCCCATACTACAAAACCGTATATGAATACAAAGTGTCTGATAACATTGTCACCCACCACTCCTAACCCACCCCTTCTCTAAATTTTCTTCTTTTTTTTTAAATTATGATTAGGTGATTACATAAATTTCACATATTTCACAGTATTGTGGAATAGTGATACTTAGTTAAAGTCATAAACACATTTTAGCCTTCACAAGGCAAATTGTCATTATCATCATCTATAAAGTTTGTGAATTCTATGAGCTTTGACAATACAATTATTTCTTCCACATCAGATGATATTTACATTTCTTTCCTTTTGCTTAGTGTAAACTGGTTGAACATTTCTTCATGTCTCTATTTGCTATTCTTCTTACTCTGAGAAGTCTCTAAGTCTTTAGCCCATTTATTAATTGGCTTGACTTTTGTGTGTTGGTTGTCAGCTCTTCAGCTCAGCTCAAGGCTAGCGCTCTACCATTTGACCTACAGCACCACTTCCAGTTTTTTGAGTGGTTTAATGGAGATGAAATTCTTGTCTGATGCATAGCTGATAAAAATCTTCCTTTTTATGGGCTTTCTGTTTATCTTGTTAGCTATGTCCTTTGCCATGCAGAAACTCTTCAGTTTGATGCAATCTCATTTATCTAGGCTTTCTTCAATTTGTTATGAGTCTTGATTTTAGGAAATTTTTGGGTTTTTTGGTTGTTGTTTTTTTTCCCCGTTTCTGTTTTTTTTTTTTTTGCCAGTCCTGGGGCTTTAACTCAGGGCCTGGGCACTGTCCCTGAGCTTCTTTTGCTCAAGGCTAGCAGTCTACCAAGGAGCCACAGCACCACCTCTGGCTTTTGTGATACTGAGGAATCGAACCCAGGACTTCATATATGCAAGACAAACACTCTACCACTCAGCCACAGTCCCAGCCCTTTACTTAGGAAGTTTTGACCCATGCCTAGGAGCCCTAGTGTTTCTCCTACTCCTTCCTGTAATACTTTAGTGGTATCTGGTCTTACATTGAGGTTTTTTTGTTGTTGTTTGTTTTGTTTTGCCAGTCCTGGGGTTGAACTCAGGGCCTGGGCACTGTCCCTTAGCTTCTTTTGCTCAAGACTAGCAACCTACCACTTGAGCCACAGCGCAATTTCTGGCTTTTTCTGAGTAGTTTATTGGTCATAAGTCTTACAGGGGTAACAATGCTCAATAGGAAATGTACCCATTACCTTACTCATATAATGTAACCCCTCTGTATAGTATCTTTACAAGAAAGAAAGAAAGAGAGAGAGAGAGAGAGAAAGAAAGAGAGAAAGAGAGAAAGAAAGAAAGTCTTACGAACTTTTCTGCCTGGGCTGGCTTTGAAACTTAATCCTCAGATCTCAGCCTCCTGAGTAGCTAGGATTATAGATGTGAGCAACCAGCACCCAGTTGTGTGTATTTTCTTACAGTTAATCTCAGCTTCTAAAATATAGACCTTATTGGTTTGGTATTATTATACATTAATTTATAATCATATTGAGACTTAGTGGCTTACAGGAGTGACATATTACTCCTACTTCTGTGATTTAGGATTGGGTCACTTTGAATTCCCTGGCTGGGCTGTTCTACTGAGTTTACTTCTCATTTCCCTTGCAGCTGTCTGTAGTGGGCAGGTAGGCTATGCTGGAAGTTCTATACAGGCTTCACTCTCTGTATGTATGTCATGTAGCATTCATATTGATATCCTTAACAGAATAGCTCAGACTTCTTCGCAGTACTCTTCAAGGGA